ATATGGCCTCTCCTATACAGCTTTAATCAACTGAATACAAATCCCAGGCCAATTAAAAGCTGCTCTTCTCCATTTATTTTTTTTCCCCTGCTATTTTGATAATAAATGCAACCTGGTACTGAAGTTCACAGTAAATATGTAAAGAACATCTAAGCTGTCGACACAATTCAGCCACGTGTGCCCCAGCAGTATATTTAAACTGCTGTTTAAATGACTGAAAACAGGCACTGCAGCTGCTATTCCTTAAATAACATAGAAAAGGAGGCAGAAAGAAAGTTGCAAGTGCTGCCTTTATGCCAAAGTTTAAATCCAGAAGTTTACTTTGACCAAGGTGTAGAAGGTAAAGGGAAGAAGACATGAAAACAAAACCTTAGCATCCCTTTGGAACGACCTGGTTCACTTGAAGGCCTTGGCTGAGGGATGGGAAGAGGCTGCTGCACTGCTACCTCCCACAGTAGGGCCTGGTCATTCCAGGAAAGGCAACAAAATACTCTTGGCCACCGGCTACAAGAAACTTGCCAAATTAAGCCATGAAATTTAGCCAGATTTAGCCACAGGCAAAGCAGGCCACAATTCAGTCAACCAGGACACTCTGCAACTCCTTTCATCTCAAAATAGGAAGTTCCAGCCATCACTCCAGCCTCACTAAGAGAAAGCTCAGGACGTGACCGGCAGCATCTGAAAGCAAACACCAAGTTTTAAGGAACTATGTCCAAAAGAAGGAAAAAAAAAAACCCTCTTAATTAAAGCTCACCGAGAAGGCCGGACAAAAGAAAATAATTAGTGCCCTAGTAAATGTTAGAAGATCTGCACTACCACTATTAGCACTTCCTCAGGGTAGGAGGGATGATGTCATGGCTACAGCACTGTGGGGCTGGTCTGGCTAACGGGACACTCCCTACGGAACTGTGACCGCACAGGCAGCTTCCCTGGGATCAGCAATCAGTTTAATAAGTGTTCAGAGACCTGCAATTAGCATATAAACACAGTATAACCACCAAAAGAAGAAAGGAAGAAAAAAAATACAACAGGGGAAAAAAAAAAAAAAAGCAAAGAGGAGACAGCTGTAACAGGGTGGCAAACAAAGCTCCTAAGCATGAAAGAGAGAAAGGAATGTGGTTAAAAAATCTCCCCTAAGGAGGAATACTCTGTACGCCCGAGCTCCAGCTGTTTGACTTGCCCTGCTCCCTCCTCCACTCCATTATCCACTCTGGCTGTGCTAATTTAACACAAACCACCCGCCTGTGTCAACTGTTGAAGGGGAGATCGGGCCTGGGCTGCGTGTACAGAAAAGGAAAATAAAAAAAACTTGGGGGCAGAAAGTTCAGGTGCCCTTGGGGTGGGGGTGGCTTTGTGCAGGGAGCTCAGGAAGGAGCTGCGAGGGAAGGCAGTGAAGATGAGCCCTTCCCTGCTGCTGCCTCTTCTGTCCTGAGCTCTGCCACCGACCAGAGAGCTCTGCCACCGCTTCCAGCCTCCCACAGCACCCAGATTTGCATGCAGGAGGATCTGCCTTCATCAACAAAGCCACACAGCTCCCGGCACGAGGAGCCCACGGCCCCTCAGGTCACGGCAGTCACTCCCGGGGAGGAAACAAGCAGGTCTGCAGAGTCAGGAGGAAGGGGCGGGGGGAGAAAACAACAAGGAGGGAAAGGAATAAACTCGGCCAATTTTCAAGTCTGGAGGCCTGGATTTCCACAGGGAAGGCGTTTTTGCGTTTTGAGATAGCGGGGGGAGTGCTGCGAGGGTTTGGGAGTCATATATGCAGCCAAAATGGCGCTGAGAATAAAAATATAATTTAAAGGAAGGTCGCCATATTGTAAACAGTGAGGCAGGGAGACACAGAGACAGCAAAACGGCTCCTGCCAGGACCCTCCCGAGGGCCCCCCCAAAACCAGGCACCCTTAGAGAGGGGTGAGGAGGGGCAGGTCCCTGCCCGGGGGGGCTGGGAGGCCGGGTAAGGGCAGCACGGAAGCAGACAGGCCGCGCAGGCAGCGGCCTCGCTCCTCCTCTCGGCACAAAAAAGAAAGCAGGGGGGTGGACGCCCCACCCCTCAGAGAAAGCAGCGAGGGGGCTTTTCCCTTCGCCTGCTGTGGATTAGTCTCGGGGGGTCGGTGAGGGTGGACACGAGGGGGGTTTGCACCTCATTTCTGTCCCTGCCTGCTGCACCCTGTCCTCCCCCGTTCCCCGGGCAAGGCAGGGAGCTAACGGGAAGCGGGAGCTGCCGAGGGAAGGCGCTGCCCGGATCCGGAGGGGGGTCCCG